GAAGTCTGTTGGCCCGGTCTGCTGTAGTGATAGTAGGTTGTTGGCATATTGGTGGCATTGGGTTGCGTGAACAAACTTCACTGCTGTTCCTGCCCATGCTATGCCAGTTTTCTAGCTACCAAGCAGACTTCAGTTCCTCACGATTGTCAAGTTGGCACCCTTCTGTGACAATCAATGTAATACAAAGCAGAAAAAAGTATTTGAAGCAAAGAAAGGAGCTGTCTGCAGTAGTATGTTAGATAAAAAGAAACCACATTAGATGAAACTATTCACATGACTGGCAGTAATGGAAATATACAGCAGAACAGAAATGTGGAAAACATTGGCAAAAATGAGGAGAAGAGATTAGTATTTTTATTTAGTTTATTTTCAGTAAAGTGTAGAACTATTTAAACCAGAAATTCCAGCTAGGAAAAGTTGGAGAGTTACTTGACATTGTGTTGGGTGATTCTTCTGAATGGATCTTGAACTTCACATTCTGTGGGGAGATGGTGAGATCTGGCAAATGCAGAATGTAGACCTAGGGCATTCCTATTAACAATTGTGCAGCCATGACTTAGGATATGTTGCAGTACTTTAAGCAGAATTTTTTGATCTAAGATGCTTAAATTGTGCATATAAACATGAACTTTTCAAAGTGGCAAACAAGTGTATTTGGCATTGACATTAATGGGATTTTGAGCTGCTTTTACAGCTTAAATCTGCAGAATAAATGTACATTTCTTCTCAAAAAAATCTGAAATATATTTATTTATTTTAATTTAAATGGAACTGTAGAATTTAGCTTGGGGAGGGGGAGAAAGAAGATAAATCTGACAAAGAAAGTCTTCGTAAACCAAATCGTTAGAGACATAGCTTTGTGGAGATACTCACATGGAGTTAAAGGCTTTTTTGGGTGAAACACAGGAGGGAGAGAATCAAAACAGACATCTTTTCAACATGCTTTAGAGCATCCCCTGATCAATACATTCCTAGTTAGTAATTTAAGATTTCTGTCCAGCAAAGCTGGCTGCGTACCCTTGTTCAGTGAAACAGCTAAGCATAAGTGGAATTTTAAGAACATGCTCATGTGATGTCTGTATAGCAATGCTTTCTTAAGGCTAGGAACTGATTTTATGCTTCAGAAAGTTTACTTTAAAAATCATAGCCAAAATAATTACCCTTAGCTATTAGTTTATGTGGGAGGGTTAGTTTTGTGCAACTGTCTGAAATATCAAGAAATCTTTAGCTTGAGCAGCTGAAGATCGTGTGCATGACAGTAACTTTACACAGATTTTTAAAGTAATTTTTCTGGTTTGCTTTCTGTGTTTTTTTTTTCTTTTTTTTTCTTTTTTTTTTTTTTTAAAGAAGCTTGAGAATAAAAGTAATTGTTTGAATAAGCTGCCTGCTGTAACAGTCCTCTGAGAAGTTCTTACTTAAATGATTATTATGTTGACTAATTTCACAAGCTTAGAGCAGCTGGAGTGAGTGCTAGCACTTAGTATGTCCTTCAAGCTCTGTGTTCATATACAAATATTTTGAGTTCTGGGAAAGATGAATGCTTGCTGTTAGTGCAAGCATCAGTCTTCTTAGTGTTAAATGGTATACTTTCTAATCATGAGAACAATAAAGTTATAAAGCTTTATAAAGACTTATAATTCAAAGTACAGAATCAAGAAAACTGTGAACTACTAAGAAAGAGATTGATTATGTACAAAAAAGGCTTTATAATGTGACATCTGAAACATCAGGGAACCAGACTGAAGGAATCTGGCAATTTCTTTTCAGTGTTACATACCTATTCCAGAAGGGACAGCAGAGCTTTCTGATAAAACTAGCAAAAATCAGTCCCATTAGATACTGGATATTCTCTTAATGTTAACTACTCAAAGGGCTTTTCAGAAAAAGATGCTGCGGTTTACAATGTATTGACTTCAGCTGGGCTTAATTCAGAACCATTAGCTTCGGTGGTAGCAGCTGACATTCAGCTAGACTGCAGCTTGAATCACTTGTCTCGTACCTAACCATTGAGTTGGTAATGGACAGCTGAAAACAAAAATCTAAATAAAATTATGGTGGTGATCTCACTAGGAGAGTGTATATTGCTGAAAGGAAGGCTGGGAGAAGCTTTTCTTTCGCATGTGCTGTAAATGCAAAATCAGATGTATAAAGTTGCATAAAAATGAAAGTCTAGAGCCATGAGCTTTATGAGCAACTTTATGAAACATGCATATTTTCATCATGTTTTTGAAGCCTCTTATGTGGCTTTTTAGATCATTCCATACATCTTGCCTCCTTTTGCTTTTAAAAAATTTAATTTATAAACCAGTCTTGTTATTTAATATATATACTTCATGCATGCACATACACTTTGAGTTTTTCATTCTTCTGGCATTATTTAATCGCAAAATGTCCCACCTTTCCCTATTTTTAAAAAAGTTTCTGTCTCAGGTAGGAGCTACTTCCCTATTATGTTTCAGTTTGCAACTCAAATTAGTCAGGCTTTAGACCCTGACAGGACAGATTTTTTAAAAGAATAAATTGTTTTTATTGTTGTCAATTTTTTTTACATTCTTCTTTAAAAAAAAAAAATAACATGCTTATGTTCCAATCTGTTAGATAACAACAATCACAGAGGTGGAGATGAGAACTGAAGAAGTTTTAGTCTTGAAAATAAAAATTTAGGGAAGTCAAAAACTCCTGTTCTAATGAAAGTTTTGCATAAACTTAGCTGGTGCTGTCCTAATGCATTCCAAGTTATAGCAACTGATGTACTTTTATATATGTATGCAAAAACCTTTTTGAAATAACCTGAAATCACATACTCAATGAAAAGAAAGAAAATCCTGTCTTTTTCATTTAGGTTGTTATCAGAATACCAGATAAATGCTATCATATATAAGATTTATTTGTTCATTTTGTTTAAATAAAAATATGAAATTATGTTTGTTAAAAACCTTCATCCTGCATTTACAGTTCAAATTGATAGGCAGCGCAATAACAATTTTTTTTAACTTCTTCCTGATTTTCTAGCTCATCAGAAACCACAGCTGTTTATGAATGGTTTACTAAGGGTTTGCTAATACAGGCGAGAAGTAGGAAGGAAGAAGAGAACTGCCTGAGAGCAGAAGCTCACACAAGCAATGGAGATGGAGCTGCAATAAAATCTAAACAGAATTCTACTGTGTCAGGAGCTGGAAATACAAAATATCTTCGGTTGCAACCTGTTTAACTACATTTCTGAACAGAGGCTTAGTAAACCTCTACACTGATCTGTCTGGATGCTGAGCTATTGTATGCTCTTGATGCATGGGATTTATCTTTCCCCAGTTGCCCATGTAGTGATATTCAGTGACCTACCTGAGGTATGTGTCTGACCCAGTTCTTGATGGCTGGGTAACGGCAAGGCTTAATTGGCTTGGATAATCTCTACCGAAGAGAGAGTGACTTATTTATGGATTTCAAGTGAAAGTTATTATAAGTGAAAATAGCCAATTTGTAGCTTTACAAAGAGAAATCCACCTTACATGTAGGTAGTTAAAAAAATAATAATTTGTGATTATCAGATAATATACGCTTAATAAGATTCACCGTGGTGACTTGGCACAGAGTGTGCATTGTTAATATAGCATGATTAATATAACAGAACAAAGTTTTCAGGTCCCTAGAAACTAGGTGTTTTGTCCGTTTGTCCCAGGAGAGGGGGCGCAAGCAGGTGATAAACAATAATTGAGTGAACTGGAGGAGAATAAACCAGTTATAAACCTACTTACAGATGCACTGTGAGTTTGTGTCTTCATCCAATAGGCACATCCAGCAACCAAGAGGCAAGTGAAAGCAGATCCATTTCTTTATTTTTAAATGAGAGGGAACAATCACAAGGCAGCAAGTTATTTCTTTAAAGATTTATTTTTGAAAAAAAAAGTTGGGTTTCCAAAGAAATCGCACAAATAATTAATGTATATGTTGTTGTGAAGATAGCTCCTGCAAAAACCTATTTCAAGGAGCTTTTATTCAGTCTTTTTACCAGAATACTGTTTGAGCTAGTTTCAGACACTACTTATTTTTTTCTTTGGTTTACAATGTTTCCTCTCTACATCCAAACCGCTCATAGCAGTCTAATGCCAGATTAGCCCTTAAGGCACCAATTATGTTTGTTTTCCCTCCTGAAACCCATAATCAGGCAGTTGGCATTAGTGGCTATGTCATACCAAGCTAATTAAAAATAACAGACATAATTTTGCATCCCCCGTGTAAAGATTGAAGAGAACGAAATCCAGAAAAATGACAGGGTGTATGTGCACTACCTGATGAGTTTTTCTTCTTTTGTCTAATTCTTTATTCCCCTCTTTTTTGCTTCCTTATGCAATCAGTATTAGACAAGAAGCTAGAAGAGCTAGAAAATGATTGAAAGCTTATATTGTTGATACTGCGGCAAGTTTTGTCATTGATTTAAACGGGAGCAAACTCAAGCCTTTGGTATTACTCCTAAGAGTCAAAACTAGAATTTTTTTTGGACAGATACTGAACAGGTCTTATGATATATTCTGAAAGAAGAAAGCTCAGGGATTTACAGACATTTTCACATGTCTTCAGGCACAGATTTCTCAAGCAGCGCCCGGCAGCAGTATTGCAATGCTCTGACAACACAGACAGTCACAGGCAGTTGACACGAAGTCAGTCCGTCATTTGCAGGATGTTTAGAAGTAGCAGCATTGAAATTTTTTTTTAATGTTCAATTTAAATGCTTGATTTTTTAATAAATGTAAGTGGGGTATGCTTATACATATCTGAAAATGCCAATTCAGTATTGTTAAAGTTATCTCCATTAGCTGATACAAGGTTTAAGTAACATAAGCGTATAATGTTTTCTCCATTCTATTGAAGGATGCTTAAGAACAAGTGAGGAACTACCAGCTCTACAATTCTTAAAAGCTCCCATTTTTTTATCCAGAGAAGCCAGATAAGTTACAATGGTGAAAGCATAATTATGTCTTTTCCTCTCTTTTTTTATCATTTAGATATCAGCATGAATCAATTCCAGGTTCACTGGTTACTGGAGTCCTGTGCACACAATGACACCAAAGGACTTGGGAAAGTCACTGAGCTGACTTATGTAAGTCTCCATTCAGCCTTCTGCTTGACTCTGAATAGCCTCTAAGCAGCAAGAGAAAGGATGGTTCTATGACGTAACACAGTGTGCTTTATACCATGTTTCATAAATAAGTAAGGAAGTTTCTTTTTTATGTTGCTCTTCAGCAAAAGATAAAAATGATGCATCTGGACTGTTTTGGGTTTGTTTTTTGTGTTTGTTTTTTTTTTAAATGCACACTAGGCTAATTTTTTTTTTTTTGTCGGTGTTATTCAGAAAACAAGAGCAGGCTAAGGACTTATCTATTTCTGCAGTACGTAGAATATGGAGCTTTATCTGTAATTAGTACTGTAGGACTCTGGCACAGTGCAAATACTGGACAATAATAATAGTAATTAATAAACTAGTTTTATTTTTAGACATGCAGGTGAATTTCATAACCCTGAGGAGAATAATAGAGTAAGAAAAAAGGACTGTAGGTGAAAATGACTAGACATTAAATCTGGAAATCGGACAGATATCAGATAAGGAGAAAAGCTCTCTGTAAGTACATGTCACCCCAAATATATATTGCAGTGGCAGTTCTGCGTACTCAATTTGTTGGCAATCTAGTGTCATCCATCTCTGTAACACATTATTTGAACAACATAGTAATGTGATTGGTGCATCACAATTGATTTTGTGGGTTATAGAGAATGGAAGAAATCACAATTCCCCTTTTCTTCTTACCCTGACCTATGCTACTGGATCAATTCACTGGAGTTAATGGCATCTAAGAGTAGAGTAAATCAAAAGACAAAATTTATTTCTCATACAGAAGGCTGTTCGCTTGTAAGATTTACTGCTTCATGGGGTCAGCAAAGCAAATATTAGAGGTGGAGTAAAAAAATGATTGTGACATAATGTTATGATCAGTCCCAATATTTCAAGTTATGCACGTTGAAGATAAGAGAAAGTTAACATTTAAGAAGTTTTATTTCCACTAGAGATCAGGAAGGACTTTTGTACATCTGCCTAAATGCACTGTGGGATTAGTTTATTTCCTCCCAATCATTTTACAGTAATTGGTCCAATCTACTGTGGGAAACTTTGTGTTTCTTTTGAGGAAGCAAATAATAGCAAGCGAACGGAAGAATATTGATGCTACAAAAGGTTTGGTACTGGCTATAGTAGGTCCACGTGGATAAAGGCCTTACATTTCCATTGTTTAGCATTTAGGCTCTGTCATAATAAATAAAAATAGTCCTGTCACAATTTCAAGCAGAAGTCAAGCCTATGAGAGCACTCTCCCGGCCAGTGGAAGGCTGGTGGAAGGGTGTCAAGTCCATTCTCAACCCAATCCCTGTCCCCCATTGAAAATGACCTTCGAAGTGAAGGTTGGACTAATCCAGTTTGGGATTAGAAAAAAGAGGGAGTTACACAGAAGAACGCTGGAATTTAGTGATTCTGAAGGGAAGTAAAGATCTAAAAGGCAATGAAAGACTTTCAACCTTAGCCAGTAAGGTATTATTGGACATTTTCTTAGAAAAAAAACCCAAACATTTTTTTCTCATATATATGATTTGTGCTAAAGCTTTCAGTCTGTTATTTTCAAAAGTACTTTAGACAACAGTAAGAGTTTAGCAGGACACTTACACATTGTGTAAAGTTTTCTTCTCCAGTCATTGTCTTTAAACAGAGAAATGTGCTTTGTAGTTCAGCTGTGGAGCTTTTCTTCCTGATAAGAAGGTAGAATTAGTTAATGTACTAAAGCGGAAAAAAATGGATCCATAATGCCATGCTGGACTTTGAATGCACTTTGAAAAAAGTTAAATGTAGATGGAGCCTGTCGTTTACAGCAGCTTAACTCAGCTTTCTTACGTTTGTTTAATTCGATTAACATTTATATCCTCACATTGCTACCCCCATTGCCATCATGTCAGAGAGACTGTTCTAAATGCTGGAAGCCAGTTGCTTTGATGCAGCGTGGCGAAGGGACTCTGCGGAATTGGAAGACATAGCCAAATACCATGCTAATGTATTTTGCCCCTGAAAATAATCATAACATAGGCAATGTTTGCTTTGTTCTCTGAGTAAAAGCCATGTTGGCATGCGTTAAGCATAACAGGAAAATATTTTATTGGAGAAAATTTTTCATCTTCTGCCAATTTTATTTTTCAATTTCTTTTTTTTTTTTTTTCTAGAGGTCTGTTTGCAGCATGTGATCTTTTTATTTTTCTTCTAGGAAAACTACATGATTCTGAAGGACCTGTCATTTTCATGCAAATATAAAGTAACTGTTTTGCCTGCAAAATCTAAAGGTCATTTTAAGGCTGAGAGTATTTTCTTTGTTACCCCACCTTGCTCTGCATTTAAAGAAAGTTTTAAATTCATTTATAATCACCAAATAAAAGTTTTTAAAAGTAATTCTAAAATGGGACATGAAAGATTCAGAACAAATAAAAATGTGACTAATGCTTATGTGAAAAATCAACTAAAATACAGAGCAGTATAGATTTTGGCTGCCACATTACTGTTTTGTCAATTAGGTGATAATTTTATTGGGCTGTTTATAAACATATGATGATATCTGTTATTACATAGTTTTTATTTTTGTGAGGAGGAAGAGTTTCCCAGTTGTATTTATTATAATGACAGATGATAACTGTAAACATAATCACACTGGCATGACCCATCTTTTGAATGTTTAGCTACTGATGCAAGCTGCTTTTTCAGTTTGAATTTGTTTAGGTTAAAACTGCTCTCAAATAACAAATAAAAGCACTCATACCTTTTATGGTATTTTATGGTATTCTTGTTGCCATGATAGCAGGTATAGCTAGAGTGTTATGGAAAATTGCAGAATCATGGAGGTGTTGGTTGGTAAGGACCTCTGCGGTCAGCTAGTTGAGACACCTGCTTGAAGCAGGTCTGTTGTCTGCAGGTGGTTGTAGGTCAGGTGAGCCATGGCTTTGCACAACCAAGTCTGGAAACCTCTCTCTTCAGCTAGAGGGTGGCCCTCTCACTTTGAGTCCCTGTTGTCCCCAGGGGTACTCCCGTGCTTCGTGGGTCACCTCAGAGTCCTGCTGGCCACCACTGCCATTGCCTGACCACCCCTTCTGACAGTTTCCAGCATTAAAACCTTATTTATTCCTGGGCAACTGCAACTCAGGCATATGTTTCCCCTTATCAGAGTGCCCCTGTTAACTTGTATGACCATTTTAGATCATGAGTTTTACTTTTTGCCTGCATTATGGAATTCTGTACTATCCTGTGGGTTCTCTTGTGGTCCCAAAAGTGAAAACTGAAGCTGAGGTATTCTGATATACAAAGAAGAAGCAGGGTAGTTGCCTGTGAATGAGGCATTTAAGCCTTTACATGCTGTACGCTTTCCTTTCTGTCACCTGCCAATGGAATATATCGAAGATAGGCTTTGGTTAATACTCAAAATTCAAAGGCAGGAAGCTGTCAGGATCCTGGGTAACACCAGAAAGAGAGCTCTGTCTGACTTTCATTTGTGGAAGTAAATGAACATTATTGAACATTAACTCTCAAAGTTTAGCTTCTCTTTTTGCTTTCCAAATTTATAGTGCCAGTTCTACCCAAAGTCTTGGCCAAACCCGAGAATCTATCTGCGTCTTTCATTGTCCAGGAAGGTAACATCACTGGTCATTTTTCCTGGAAGATATCCAAGACAGACCTTCACCAGCCCATGACAGGGTTTCAAGTCACTTGGGCGGAAGTAACCACAGAAAGCCGGCAGAACAGCTTACCCAACAGCATCATTTCGCAGTCGCAGATACTGCCAGCAGTAAGTTGTTTGTTACTTTCCTTTGCTAGCAGCTTCATAAGTGTGTGCACATGTGGCCTATTTTTAATGTTTAGTGGTGACACAGATGTCACACACAGTGTTCCCTGGCTCCGCAGGCAAGTTGGAGCAGGAAGCGCTTAATTTTCCTCCTTGCTGGAGAAACAAAGCACAGCTACTCTTCTTGATGACAGATCAAACATTTTAATGTGCACAATTGTCAATTTAGCAACCATTGTCTGAGAAATGCCTGAAGGGAGGAAAAGATCATCTGTGTGGCAATAGGTAGTTTTTATTTTCTTTTGATGATCAGGCTGTTCAACTTGGCAGTTACTGGCAGTTACTATAGTTTTACTAATTACTGGGTGTCCAAGTCGATGGGTTTAAGAGAATTTTCTCTTCCTTTGAGTTACTCATTGCACTAAGAAAAAGTAGAAATCGCTTTCCTCTCTGCCTATACACACCATTGTCCGACAGACAAAGAGAACTAGATTTCACTGTTTATTGAAAGTATGAGAATTAACAATCTGAATTCTTCCCCTTATTTGCTTTATGATGGCCTTTGCTATTTCAGTTCCTCCTCTGGCAGAGGCAGGTCAGACTCTGTTGCCAGATCCACCAAAGTCAACAAAAGGGCTTAAGCAGCTGGCCTTGATCCAAAGTCAGCTAACAACGTTGGGTGCCTTTCCATCCACTTCAGGGAAGTAGATCAAGGCGATTGTGTCTGGAGCAGAGCTGGCTGAAAACCTTTTCACAACATTTGTTTCATCAAAGAATGTGTGAAATGTTTTGTTGTACACATCTTACATTCAGCTCATTTTCCACAAATCCGAGGCAAGGTTCTCACCCTTCGTTCTTAATTCCTAGCAGACTGCCCTAAGACTAGGGCACTCGTGTTTCAAAGTCTGTTGTTCTAGGGAAGAGCAACAAAGTTGACGGCAGATGGTCTAAAACTATGGGCCAAGCTACCACACAGTGAGCAGAGCTGCTTTATTACAGCTTAGTTTGGACTCGGTGTGAGCTGCACCCATTAACTCAAAGCTTGACCCACAGTCCAAAGCGGAAGCATGGTGCAGATGCAGCCTTGGTCTCTTCAGCAAGCCACATTGCGAGATTACCTGGAGTGGTTACTCCATCACAGACCTTTAGCTGCAAACAACCACTTTAGCACAATGATAAGTGAAGTTACGGACCATGAGATGTTACTTTTCACTTCAGTTTTCATCTTTTTTTTTAGGAGCAGGCATATGTTTTATTCAGAATTTCTATTCCCTTTTTTTAAGCTTTTGGTCCAGTTAGGTCTGAAATATGTAGTAAGTTTTATTTAAAAGACTCCTTTGCATTGCGTTATGCTTTAATTTTTTATGTTTGTTTTCGTCTGTTTTCACTTACCTGGAGATTCCTTTTATTTAATTATTATCACTGTCTGCGTCTCTGTGTGTTTATGGCAACTGTTTAAGAAAACTCTGGTTTGAGCTGAATCAGTATCTCCTACCTCTCAGAAACCATCAGAATGTAGGGTATTTTACAGTGAGGATCATTCACTTGTTCTCATTGGTAGCTTCTGACTGATAAAAATTTCATATTTACACAACGGGTGCTGAAACCCACATGTCCCAACTGCCAGAGGAGCGCCTGAATGGGGAGAGCGAGTGTGCGAGTGCGATGTACGCACATCCTCTCTCTCCTCTACCCCTGCAGTATGTTATACGAGGTGGAACAGCTTCAGCAAGGTTGATTAACAGCAGTCCCATCTCAGAATATGCACTAATTTGGCAGTAAAACCACGTTTGCCCCCAGCTTTTCTCTCTTTCCTTTCCCCTTTACTGTCTTCTCTGACAGTAACAGCAAATTACCAGTTATTCCCACAGCCCGCTTGGGTCCCCCTGCATGGCGCTGGGTGCAGTCCCAGCCAGAGGAACTTGCCCTGCAAATTCCTGGTCGGCCCAGGCTGACTGGTCGGAGGAGCACACCGTGCCCGCGCTGCCCCACATCACTGCCCCGCTGTCCCCTTCCTGCGACTGGTCCTTTTCAATTTCGAATAAGGTGAATCAGGACTTTTGATTCCTTAATGTCCTTCAGTCTTTAGTCAGATCTGTTCCCATTTCAGAGCGTTTATAAACTTACTCTGAAATTGTTTTGCATGGGTGTAAGTGACCACGCAAGGTATACAGAAGTGAAAATTGAGGCCATCATGCCAAAAATGGGATTAAGAACAGCAGGGCAGATTCTTGTGGTGTAAATGGGGCAGATATGCTGAAATCTGTGTAGCCACACTTATTTTCACTAGCTGCAGCTGGGGGCCAGACCTGCAAATGGCCATGAATTAATTTAGCAATTAGTGGAATTCAAAGACAGATCCAAAGTAATAACAAGTTTATATAAGGAACATATTTGTTAAAAAGAATGATTAGGAAGTTAAGCTTTTTGGTTTTCTTAGTGATGAGCATGTCATCCATTTTCAAGAACAGGAAGGAACAACTTGGACCTCCTTACACATGAAACCATAACATTATAGTAAAAAAGTATGCTCAAAGGCAATGGCAAGCAAAAAAATTCAAAACAAACCCTCTCAACAAAGTGATGCATACATTAAATCCTTTAAACAGAATTCTAAGAAAATAATTTGTGCATGCCGAGAGTGAAAGAACCTGTTTAAATCACTGCTTTGTGTGAGTAGATCAACTACGTTTTATTTTTAGATGCTCTGATAATTAACACAATTTATTTATTTTTAGGATCATTATGTACTTACCGTGCCCAATCTGAGGCCATCGATGCTGTACCGCTTGGAAGTTCAAGTGCTGACGACTGGTGGGGAAGGGCCAGCTACGATAAAATCATTCCGAACACCTGACCTTCCTCCATTTTCACCCCACAGTAAGCAGGTTTTGACATGTGGTTGTGTCTTACACAACTTCAGTCCTCCACATTTAAATAGTTAGCTCGAGCCTTAAAGTCTTTAGTAGTTCCAGTAGCATTCTGTGAATTTAAGATGCATGAAAATACTGGGTTTTTTCCCTCCATAATTGTCCATCAGCAGTGATGGAAGCAAATGCAGTCTTTCTCTCACTCAGTTTGGCTTACACCTATAGCACCTGGGATTCAAAGATGGTCTGTCCTCCAAGTACTGCCTAGGCCTGGCATTGCTTAGCTTTCAAGACTAGATTTTTCTGGTTGCATTCAGTCCAGCGTGGCTAGAGCCTGATCACATTTCTAAAGGAGCGCAGACCTTTTAATAGCTATTTTCAGCATTTTATAAGTTTCTGAAAAGTACAGCTCAATGTTGCGAGGCTTAACAAAAAATGTAATGAATTAATCTAAGATTCATCTGCTTGAATCCTTTTGTCCTTTCACAATCACTAATGTTGTGTGGGCTGAACAGGCAGATAGTTGATGGCACAGGCAGTTCACTTACAAGCTGAAGACTTCACAAAGACTTTTTAGTACGGATAAATGGTGGTGTTACATATTCAGGGTTTGATATGTACGTATTTTCTATTCTTTTGTTTAGGACCTCATCTGAAGCAGCATCACCCACATCACTACAAGCCACCACCAGAGAAATATTAGACTGTTTCAGGTGTTTATACAAAGAACTGAGAGAAAAACTGAGCTCCCAAAAGGAGGCTAGGAAAAGGCACATCTGTAGGAGCAATGAACCCAGTTTTCCAGTGAAAGTTACCATCCTGTATGATCTGTATCTGCTTCTCTGTGCTTTAGCCATGATGAATTGAGTTTGCACCAAGGCCAGGATGAAACATACAGCAAGCATCATTTCAGTACCACCGCTGTTCAGCAAACTGAAGATCACATCCAACTCAACACCTGTGAGAAACTGAAAAGTGTGTTCATTGTAATGTTTTTGTGTTTCTGTGTTTAAAGTAAGTTGAAGCCGTGCAGTGTATACAGCTTTTTCTCTTACAGTGACTTCAATGTTAATATTTGCAAGGTTGTCCTGTGATGTATACATACTTTTGAACACTGGAGGCCGTGTTGTCATCAGCGTGTTTAAATAATCTATTTTACATAAAGCTCTGCCTGTCACCAGCCTAAGCCCTAGTGTATTTTGCTATTAAAGAAGGTCTTCATACGTCTGAAGGAAGGACATAAGTAAAATAAATACCAGTAGCAGAAACCCTAAAATAGTCAGTATTTAGTAATTGCGGTATCACCACAGAGGAGAATGATGATACATTTGTATCAACCACCTGTTCTGAAATGGTAATGTTTTAGTATGTAGATCTTCTATTAACATAGGTAATAGCTAAAAAATATGCAGGGTAGATGTACCATTGTAAAGAAACAAGTAGCAATTAATAGAATTGTTGAAAATCTATGGCAATTAATTCAATTAATTTATAGGGCCTGGAGGAATGACTTTTAAAATTCCACTAGTAATTTTTTGGTGTATAACATTTCAAGGTATAATAATATCTTGAAAAGAAACACTGATTTTGTAGTTTAAAATCTGAATAGTTAACATGAACATTTTAGAAATTGCAATTCTGAGGCACATTATTCAAGTAGCCCTACAGTTACTTTTTGGCTTTGGCCTTTGGGGCACGTATCTGTTTTCCCCATGGATCTTTTGAACAGAAGGATGGATGTGTAGGCTCCATGCTATTCTCCTTACAGAAAGAATTATGTAACAATATTCTGGCATCTGGAAAACATTGGCTTATAGTTTATTTGAATGCATTTTTCAAATTTAGACAGAAGGGTGCCCTTTTTAACCATAAGGGAATTCATACTGCATTATTGTGCAATATAAGCTGTCTAGAATAATTTGCCACACAGAGAGACATCCTTCGACAGTAAACAGAAACTGCATGGATTTATTATTAAGAGGGTGGAAAGTATCTACCAATAAACGTCTGTACAAATACTCATAATCAACTTCTCATGTTCAAGATGTTCAAAGTGCTCCGGGATTCTTTGGCACAGTTTGCATTGCTCCCTGAACCATCACATGACGAGGCTAATGGAGCTCAAATGCTTAGTAGTCAAACTTGACAAGGTGGCCACTTTTTCTATCAGCAGATGCTACAGACTCACCTGTACTTCATATTTTCCTGAGATATTCAGTGAGAGGAGGTCAGGCATTAGTGATAAATATGTTCTCCTTCTCTTGATGACAAATGGTGGAAAGCAAATGCATACCTGAAACTGAGGATCAGAGTTAAGTTTATTGTAGTAGAGCATTCGTAAAAAACTCAAATACAGTTTGTCTGTACTGAAGTTTATAGCCTTTTGTTTCGTGTGGGTTGATACCACAATGGGTGAAGGAAACTGAATTAATTTTTGATCACTTGCTCATTCCAGTTTTTCTACATTTCTACTTTCAGTTTTAAAGGACTTTTTTTGGCATTCTTTTTCTACTTTGCTTGATGTCATTTTTGATACGCACTCAGTGACCAAGAACTTTTCCAGAAAATGTCTATTGCTACATGATTCGGGCCTTTGAGAGTAGTTTTAAGAAAAATTAAAGGCTGTGGTGCTTTTAATTCCTTCCTCTGTCATTCGGTCATCTCCCCTTTTCCAATATACATTGGCAAAGAAAGAGATGAACTCTCCTTCATAAAATCTGTAGTATAACAGTTTCTTTTCAATTTTGGCAGAAGGCCAGAGTCTCGGAGGCTTTTGTCAGGGTGAAAGTGTTTCATGTGTGCAAGTCTTTACAAAGAAAACACAACCTGAATCAGACCGGTGTGCAGCACTGGTTCGATGTTTAGACTGCTCAAGGCATTGGTAAGGCTGAAAGTGATCTCCGTGGTGTTTGAAAGCAGGAGTCAGTGGGATCAGGGAAAGTAATTACTTTCTGAAAACTGTCCAGACCTTTCAATCACAGTCTGTTCTAGTTCTGCTGGAGTAAATCTGTAGTGACTTGATTAATATTAATGAAATGAGGTTTTGTTCATAGTGATACGGTAAAGCATAGAACGTGGATGTCGGTCTTTATTACAATGATGCCAAATCTGGCTTGGAGGTAAACTGGAAGTTAGCAGCCCTGACTGATCATACCCTTAGTCTTGGTTCCAGGGAGGAAGCCTCATTCTTCTGAAATGACTCAAAATGGTTACTATTTGCTGATGCCCATCTCTTTGAAGCATTCAACTTAAAAAAAAAATAATGTACTTTTGAAGAACATTCCCTTTCAAAGTAGATTCTAGAAATTAAAAAAAAATTTGATAAAGTAGAATTGTATTGAACAAGTGTAGTATGTAGACTACACTAAGATGTAAATTATTTTTTCCCTTCTACAAATCAGCTTATCAACTCACCTTTCAAGTCACTCTCCAAATCAAAAATTAAAAATACAAGGTCAACAAAGCTCATACATGGATGTTAAATTCCCAACTATGAGTGATTTCCTGATTATTCTTTGAATTTAGCAGTACAGATTTGAAGTTGTTAGTGCCTAATTCATAAAGCCTTGTTTGCTGAATTGTACAGGGTATTGTCCTATTTTACTAGCCTGAGTCACATAAACATTTAATTCAGCAACAGAGTTGAAATTCACTACTTGATTCACTAGTTAAAGATTTATTTTCTCTAATGATGTTGTGTAATACAGAGTTAATATAGATATTGGGATGTTTTTAGATACTCAGCACCTTTATCCTAATCTGTTATTTGCTATGTACGATTCTGATGGATTTGTCAGTTGACTTCAGGATGCATTTTGTTTGTGTTTATTTCTGAAAGCAGAATTATAAGGTTATGCCGTTTTTGCTAACTGCTTTGTGAAGTGGATTTTTTTTTGTTCATCTGTGATTTTTGGTTAAGAAAATAATGTTTTGTTCTTGTTATATCTTTTTTGACCATTTTTGAGAGCAGGAGAAATTCAAATAAGACAGAGCTTGTGATGTACTACTATGTGTATCATCGTGAATATTCATTAAGAATATAGCACGTAGACAATACATAAGAGGTCTGACTTCTGAAATGCTGAACATCCTCAACTTAGTGGCTTCAGAAAGAGCTGAGGACATGGTGTGGCAATACTAACATTGACATTAATGTTTGGCATGGTCACACACAAAATCAAAGAAATACTTCTTGCTAATGTGAATGGGAATTTTACCGTTAGCATTAGCAGAAGTCTATAGAAACCTAAATACTGAGTCAATTTATTCCACAACACTTTCATCTCCATGCTTCCGACTGGAGTCAGGGAGAGTTTCAGATAAGCGGGCCCTGATTCAGGAAGGTATGCAGAAGAGGAAACTTCCATATACACAGTGGAAGGCAGTGGGATGGAAGTAAACCTTTGCAGTTAAGAATGAGCATTAGTGATGTCTTCAATAAAGCATGGATGTCAAAAATTTGTTGAACATTATCTTAAATCAGGGCCTTATAGGACAAAGTATGGGACCCAGACAGTTCTAAATTCTGTGTACACCACCATAAAAAAATTATTTTTCTTGTGTGTATATGTAAATGTAGTTGTGATATTTACTTATTTATTAATTCATTTTCTTATACTGTGTGCCAAGTATATTCCTACATTTTTTATCAGTACCTGTGAACATCAATTACTAATAATAATGTTATGCAAACTTGTGCATTGTAACCCGGAATATGATGCTAATAAGCTGTTGCATGTATTTTTAAATAATTAAGAAAACCCTTTATTTAAAAAATGTAAATGAATACCTGCAGATGTTGATGATTATATATGGTTTTGCATGCCAAAACTCATTGTTCAGTTGTGGGCATGAAATGTAACGACTGTATTACCTCTACTGAATATATTAGTAAGGTACAATTTACAAAGTAATTAACAGAGCTCTATATGTAAAATTTTTCCTTTTTACTTAATTGTATTGTAGTAGAGGTAACAGAACTGCTTCTCTGTTACCCAAATTGGCTGTAGAAATTATGTTCCTATAACACTCATCTAAAGTCAATATTTATTTATGTATGTAACACAAAAAGATTGGTTGTATGCGTCTGTCCTGTTATTTAGAGGAAAAAAACACTCTTCTTGTAAAAAATAATGTGTAAAAAAATGTAAATGTAAATAGAGTCTGATTTCTTTTACTCATTATTTTTATGTTTAGAATTTGTACATACTGTTTCAGTAATAAACATCACAATCTTGCTCCATTATCTCCTCCATATAGCATTTATTGTTTTGGTTTTTTGTAACTTGAAGAGTCATCTGAGAAAAATCAGTGTCACGCCAAGTACCTTTGCTACATCTACATTTCTCTGTGTATAAAGTCATACCGTGTTATCGTCTTTTACTACAGCATTTTGTTTTCTTTAGAAAGTGACCAAAATAATCTGAAAATAAATTTGTATATCATTTGAGTCTTTTATGTTGAAAAACAATCACTGAAGCAAAAAATGAGACTCAACAACTTGCCTTTCTCTGTTTTAGTGGAATAGTTCACAGAGAAGATTTATTCTCCTTTTGTAATACTAAATTAAAATAATTTAAATGTTCCTGGATGTAACTTAGTGGCCTGATACTGCAAGTCAAGATTTCCGTGATTGAAAATCGTGGTGAAATCTATGTATACAACAGATAAGGAGTATTTGAAGTGCCATATTCCGTGATTTAAATTCTGTATTTTTAATAAATATAAATATCTGTCTTAGTACAAACATTTAACTGTTCAAATGGTCACAGATGTGCTATCATTCTCAGAAGCAATATCTTTAGTGTGGGGATGCACCTTTGACTTACTCTTGACTTACCTAATAAACATTTAGATTTTGTTTACTTGAACATAAACTCCAAAATTTCCTGGTATTGCTTTCTCATTAGAATAATTAC